CATCTGGCGCCCCCGTCTAGTCTCGTGGGGGTGGCCGCGCGCCTCGCAGGCCCCGATACTGAAGCGAACGCGGGTGTGTTCCCGGCTCCACATCCTCCTGCGGGGGGAAGTCTTCGGGGGGGTTGTGACCCCCCCCCTAGCATTTGGGCAGAGTAAAAACAAGCCCCCCCCCCCCCCCCCTGAAGCGATGTCCGCCCGCTCCATATGCAGCACCTTGCCGACGACTCGTGCGTTTCGGCGGTAGTGATCTGATCACCCGAATGCCACGTTCGGAGCGCTTCTCATCGCAAACCCCGTCAGCAGTCCTCCTCCGGGAATGTACGTAAGAGCTACATACACGGACAACACTCTCTCTCTCTCTCTACACGGAAAATGTTGATGCATTACTGAGGAATGAAAAGAAATCCAAAACGGGAAGGGGAGCCGAGGAGTCGAACCTCGATCGCGGGAGCCACATTCCCGAATCATGACCCCATTAGACCAACCCCCCAAAGGATGGTAGTCCGGAGACTAAGTAACAAGCTGCTTTTGCAAGCGGCGCTGATTGTTTGTTTGTTTGCTGTGACCATCCTGACCCTCTCCCTCGCACACGACTTATATCCAGCCCTCGCGGACCGTGCCCCGTACACTTGTGGCGGCGTCCGCTGTCCGGGTCCAGTCGTTACTCCGAGTATGAGACTTCCGTTCCGGACACGACCACGACGCAGACCGGAGGACGTGTGCCACTCCACTACGCCCAAACTCACACGATGCCGTCCACTACGCCCTGCTCCTCCGCCTCCGCCTTCGTTGCGATGATGGACTCCAAGACGGCCGGCGAAACTGTGCGCTCGAGCACTCCGACGCCGGCTCCCCGCTCGTCGCCCTCTTCTTCAAGCTCGTCCGCTCGCTGCCCGACGACTCTCTCGCCTCGCTGACCGCCGCCGTGCCCGCCGAGCCCGCCTCGCTCGCCGACCTGACGGTGCTCGCCTTCCAGACCCGTGCAACACGCGGTATGGGCAAGGGCGAGAAGGACCTCTTTTTCAAGATGCTCGCCGCCCTCCCCGTCGAGGCTGCGACGGCGACGCTCCACCTCGTGCCGCACTTTGGCTACTGGAAGGACTACCTGCTCATGCAGGGCGTCGCTGGGATCGACGCGGCGGTCAAGGACAAGGCGCTGTCGCTCCTCGCCGACCAGCTGCTCAAGGACGCGGCCGAGCTCGAGGCGGCCGAGAAGGAGGCGCGCACCCCGAACCTCACCCTGGCGGGCAAGTACGCGCCCCGCGAGGGCTCCGCCTTTGACGGCCTCGCCAAGCGGCTCTCCACACACCTCTTCGGGAACAAGAACGCGGCGGCGTCGGCGCGCAAGTACCGCAAGCTCGTCGCCTCCCTCAACCGCGCCCTCCTCACCACCGAGGTGCTGATGGCGGCCAACCGCTGGGCGGAGATTGAGTTCGCGCGCGTCTCGTCCCTCTGCCTGCAGCGGTCGCGCAAGGCCTTCCTCAACGAGGCGCTCAAGGGCAAGCTGGCGCCGGCGCAGGAGGAGACGGGCAACCGCCACCCCGAGGACGAGCAGCGCGTTGCGGCGCGGCACAACCTGCGCAAGGCCCTCCTCGAGAAGGGCGCCAAGGCCGTCAAGGGCAAGCAGCTGTATCCGCACGAGATCGCGCAAAAGTGCATGCGCGGCGGCCGTACCGAGCTGTCGACCCTCGAGGCGGACCTGATGCACGCGCAGTGGGAGGCGATGCGCGAGGGCGTCAAGGCGGCGATGGCGGCGGCGGCTGCGGCGCGCGAGGCGGCGGTCGCCGAGGCGGCGGGGGAGGGTGCGCCGCTCGAGGCGGTGGCGGCACTGCAGGCGGCGCTGCCAAAGCCGGTCGACCTCGGCAAGCTGGTGCCGCTGATCGACGTGTCTGGGTCGATGGTGGGGACGCCAATGGAGGCGGCCATCGGCCTCGGCCTGGTTGTGGCCGAGCTAGTCCCACCCCGCCTTCCGCAACCGCGCCATCACCTTCGAGTCGAGCCCGCAGTGGGTGCACCTCGACGGCGCAGGCAAGGTGGCGTCCAAGGTGCGGGCGCTGCAGGGTGCCAGCTGGGGCGGGTCGACCGACTTTGAGGCGGCGTGCGAGCTGGTCCTGGGCTGCGCGGAGGGCGCCCGGCTCAAGCCGGACGAGGTGCCCGACCTGATTGTCTTTTCCGACATGCAGTTCAACGAGGCGCGGGGCGCGCACTGCATGTACGGCCGCTACGGCGGCGGGCGGGTCGCGTCGTGGGAGACCCACCACGAACGGCTGACGCGGCGCTTCGCCGAGGTTGGGCGCGCGGTGTGCGGCGAGCCGTACGCCGCGCCTCGCATCATCTATTGGAACCTGCGCGGGAACACGGCGGGCTTCCCAGTGCAGGCTGACGCGCCCAACACGCAGATGCTCTCGGGCTTCTCGCCGTCGCTCCTCAAGCTGGTCCTGGCGGGCAAGGACCTGGTGGGCGACGAGAAGCAGGTCCGGCTGCCCGACGGCACGGTCAAGGTGGTGCGCGAGGGGCCGACGCCGGAGGAGACGGTGCGCGCCGCCCTCGACGACCCCGCCTTTGACGCGGTGCGGCTGGCTACGAGAAGAACAGCCCGAACGCCCACA